CCTCTGCATGAAACCATGACCTAGTGTTCTATACTTAAGGGATAAAAGTTGTCTTTAAAATATGCACGTTCGCAGGCCTAGGCAGTTGTATGCCCATGGCTCTCTAGGTAATATCAAACATGGGATTTCAGAATTCCCATGTCATGATACTGAGTTCCCAGGCTGAGCACCATGTGTGTGTGTATATGCCCATGAATGTACTGAGGAGAAGATTCTTCCCCAGTGGAAGAAAAAGAGCTTAGAAAAGTTGTTTTGGTGACTCTTTGGTGACATTCTGTGAAATGTCAATCTAAAGGGAGTCAGTGTGATAATTTCTGCACAGGTATCTTTTATAGGTCTGAGATTCTCTTTTCCCAAATGCTTTATTTTACCTCAACTTGCCAAGTTGAGTTTATTATGAGAAGGTTTATCCACTCCTCTCAAAGAAAATTGCAGCAGATGAACTCGTGCTATAGAAAGGCTCAGCCTACTTGTTTGTCAAAGCTAAGCCTGAAAGCAGATGAATCCACACAGGGCCATTCAGCACCAGAGACCTACTGTTGTGTCTCCTGTGGCCTCTGGCACACATGTATTTCCAGGACACCAGAACAAGACATGTGGGACCAGAATGCTCAGGCTAGACTTCCAGTGTTTGGGGATCATCTGCCTTCACAAGCTGCACCAAACTAATTAAATGAGCTTCACAATCTACTTAGTTAAATGGTCACAATTTCCAAAATCAGTGGCAAGTGTAACTGATGCTTAAATTGAGTTAAACTAAATTGATAAAAAGCTGCTGAACTCTTTTCTATATAACAACATTGGGTTGGTTTATTTTTCCAGTACAATCTGACATATTCACCCTTCTTCACTTTTCTCCGGTGTGTTGCATCATTATAAAGGTGCTTAAATTGCTCTTCTCGTGCTTTCTAGAAAGAAAATAGGCAATATCTACATAAAGCACCTTTGTAATGATGCATCTGCATTTGTACAAAGGATTTGTGCCAGCATAATTAATTTAGTTAAAAAAAGCCCACCTTTAACACTTAACAGAAGCACTTCCACAGGAACGATAAATGTATTTTCAAACCTAAATTGGAATATAAAGTAGAATGCATGGAGAAACATCAACTTAACTAAAGGCTTTTTAATGAATGCATTTACCATGCAATTACAGTGGTTCAATTTTGGTGTGTTAACCTGAACCTCCCACTGATTCTCCAGATAGGGGAGGTACTTGTACAATGAGGGAAACAAATACCCACTTTTGGTAAGCATCCCACTTTGAGAGCCTCAAACAGTAGGCACTATGCAAGCATAAAGTATGATTATTACTATTTTACTCATTCAACAGTAAGTTGCACAACAAAATAGCAGAAGTGCCTTTGAAAATATACATTTCCCAATGAACTGTAGGAAGAAGTTTAAATTACTTTTCTCAAAGAAAGTAGCTCACTGTGAAACCAGCTGTTCTGAGTATGAGCCAGCAGCCTCAGCAGGCTCTTCCTAGAGTCAAACCCACCAGCACCTTTCTAAATTCGTCATTAAAAATGTTGATCATCCTGGTAGAAGTCCCTTAGGTATTTGCCAAGCAGTGCTTAGTACAAGAAAGGGGAAAAAAAGAAAAAAATGCACAAGAAAAAGATCTCTTTTCACTGCAATTACTTTGAAGAGAGGAGGGAAGTCATTCTTCATTATTTCAGTTACTAATCCCATCAGGTTTGTATCATTATCTGATGAAAATGTCCTTTTTCATTGTCTGAAGGCATAGTCAAGAGGGACCAGTGTGACAGCTGACTTTCTATAGGAAAAGCCTGTGCTCTTTTGCTGGGATCCTGGCAACAAGCCTGCATCCTGCCCATTACCTCCTGCTCATTGCTGCAAGCCTCCCCCTTACCACTGCCACTGCAATGCCCACTCCCTTTTGGAAGAGTGACAAAGGAGTGCTTAAAACTAATTTTTTTCTAAAAAGTCCCACCAAAATTGCAAGTATCAGTCTGTAGTTGCCATGTTTGAGGGATCTTCAACAGTCATGCTTAATTTACAAGTGAAGATGGAGCTGTCTGAAGCCAGCAAATGTCTGGTGTTGCCAGCTTGGAAACCCAAGGGAAGTTCTCTGCTAGCTTCAACCAGGGGAGTCTGCTCACATTCTGTGAGCAAACAGGGTTGTATATGCCTCAGCATAGCTTGTGTAGTGCCATCACCCCAACAAGGACTTGCACGAGTGGCCACCTATCGATTTATAGCCAGATGGATCAACTGGGACTCCTGGGTCTCAACAAAAAATTGATGTGCCTATGACTCAGACATATGGCATCTCACTTAGCAGCCCATAACCTTTCCACCTCTGCCATGCTTTCCTTCTGTGTAAAAACCACATATTTCGGGCTGACAGTGTGTCCTTGCAGACACTTTTACAAGCCAGGCTGTTTGCATGGAAGCAGCTGGATGGAGTTGGGTGCTTGGTTCAACTTGCAGCAGACGTAGAAGAATAAAATCAAGATCGCTTTACATGTTAATTTGTGAAGCTAATAAACGCAGCAAGCAGAATCCTTACCTCTTCCTTCTGTTTCAACAGATGCATCAGTAAATTTATGCACAAAACATTTCTGTAGAAGAAATTGGTGTCACTCTTATGTAGCTGCAAGGATGCTTTCCATAGTTATCAGTAAGAAAATCTGTGCAAACTTGTAAGACACAAATATGTATTTGTGACAAACAGGGTCTATGGAGAGGTTGCAGCGAGGTAGATTTCTTTTAGAATATTTGAGGACCACAGTTGTTTACTTTGCTGAAAAAACTTGAATTTGAATTTCCATTTTCCTGTGAGGAAAGAATGCTTTCAGTAACATCACAGCTAATCCAGGTGGTGCAATCTTTTGTGCCTGTCGAGTTTCAGTTGCTGGATCACTTCAGACATGGCAGGAATGACACACAACCTTGCAAATGTTGATGCATAACATAAAACTTACTATCTGAAATGCAAAGGAGAGAAGAATAACCTCTCCTTTTCAGCTCTGCACAGGTGAGCTGAAGCTCCATGGGTGATGCAGAGCCAGAGGACATGTGCTGCCCCGTGCCAGCTTCCGCATGAACATGCTGGGGCACATGAAGTGCAGGGCGATATCCTCAGCTTTCCCAGTGGATTTGAGTATGACGCAAAAAGATATTCAGAGCCTAAATTCCACTTTGTCCTTGTGCCTTATATTTCCCGCTGCGTGTCCCTTGGTCTCTCCAGAGACATCTTGCCAAAGGAAATACTGGGCATAAGTCTATAGCTGAAATTTCATCTGGGGAGCAAGTGGGGAGTAATTAATAATGAATAATGTAAATTCATGCCCAGACTTGCTGAGCACTCACTGAAGCCCTCAGAAGTTACTCACCTGACTTTTTATGGCAAATACCTCAAGTACACCAGTAGTAAGTAAAGAGCAGTTATTAATGAAAGATTGTGTATGCGTGTTGAGAGTACACATTGGTGAACTTGCCTCAAAGAATCAAAGAAATTAATGTGAAGACTTCAAATTCCTAAAAGCAATTGTAAGGCTGGAATCCTTACTGTGAAATAAAGTTTTAAATAGATATTACAGGCAATATATTCTGTCCCATGATGCCTCAATAAAAAAACATCACCATCAAAAAACAGCTGGTTTTGCTCTGATATTTCAGTGAAGGTAGCGTTTATGTGATAATTAATGTCTGGAAACTTTGAAGGGAGGTATGTCCATACCTGTGATTGGGATAGACTATGTCTTCATTAGCAAAAAATGCAGCCAAGCAACAAGAGATATGTAGAGCACAACAGATGCTGAGCACCCAAGCTCAGTGGCTGTGGGAACTGGGGATTGTTACTCCAGTCTGCCTTTAATGTGGTCCTGTGTGCTAGGCACACACCAGGAGTGCGTTTTTCCAGTTTTGTTTCACCTGCAGGGAGTCCCCAGCTGTGTGAGCTCCTTGCAAGCATGATCCAAGGGGAAGGGGTGAAATTCCCTTTAAAAGAACAGAAGGGGAGATATTGGAGGAGAGGTACCTTCTGTCTTACACTGACTCTAATCCCATCCCAGACAGTGACTCCCTTGCTTAGTTTGGATTTGTCATTTACCTTTCCAGCAGCATGGGACTAGGAGCATTTCACTTCTTTCCCATATGGATGGAAAGAAGCTGTGAGATGCTTAGTGAGTTCACAGGACTCATATGCGAACTAACAGCCTGCTGTGCTGTGAGGGCTGCAGGAAGAAAAGAAACAATAGACAAAAGAAATGATATCTCTTATTTATCCATTCAGAAATACATCTATAAATTATGTTATGATTTTGTCAATATATGGTGCTAGCAAAGATTTCAAATAAGTAATGTTCCAGCCTCAGGGGCCTTATTGATTTTGTAACAATTTCAAAGAAAAACCACTCATTTTACCATTTGCTGACAAATTCTTTGCTCCCTAAGGAATTCCTATTGAACATGTGTTAAAGACAGGATAAAATAATTTTAAGGAAATGCAGAGAGATAGCTTTGTGCATAGACTCTGCTCAGCAAATGGGTATTTAACCTCTGACCAGTGACAACAGGTCTCCTTTAGCTCTATTAGATCAACAGCAAGCTATTATAATTAAATATAAAAACTGTTTAGAGCCTCACCGAGCATGTCCTGGGAATTAAAGCATATGGCAGGGATAAGGATAAAAAGACTTTCCATATGCTAATGACCCTTGCTGTCTGAAATATATTAGATCCATTAGAGTTTATGCTCAATAAAAGGAAGACTTTAAGCACTCCAAAGTTAGTGACTCGAGACTGATTTTGGCTTAGAAATTCAATCTGCCTGCTTATTAATTCTTAGTAAGGCTCTGGAGGAGAGAGGGGATACAAAATCATAATTCTGTGCTGTATCAGAATTTTAAAGTGCCATCAGTTTCTTTTCCTTTTTTTTTTTTTTTAATTAAACTATTTTTCATGCTTCACTTTTTTGTTCTCCTCATTTGATTTTCTTCCCATTTTTGTTTAATTTCTTTCTTTTTAAGGTTTCATTTATCCTATTTCAACTGAACAGAGAACCCAGAATGAATATGGATTTTCTTGTAAGTTTACTGTTTGATTTTATGTTCCTGGATGCTGATTTGATGCTGTTCCTTGAGTCAAGCTTTACTGTTAGCTCTGTGTAACTCGGCAAAGAGGGGCCTATTCAGCAGAGTAAGTGACATGCTGCTTGCTTGACAGCAGTCACAGTGTTTTGCTGTCTGCAGGTTGGCACAGAATGATAAGGACACGAGGGAAATAGGAGAAGATGCTGCCTCAGAGACTGAAACTGTAGAGAATGAACCATCTTCTCATTAAAATTTCCTTAGCAAATGGAAGAAATGTGGTGGAAGGGTAACTTTTCTTTGAGCCAGAACTCAGATATCTGCTTCCTGAACTGCTGGGTTAAAAATGGGATGCTTCAAATTTGGTAAATTGGAGGTCTGATAGCCAGGAGCTTACAGAGATTGATCACTCCCTTTCTACATCTACCAGCTCTCACCTTTTCATCTGGAGGGCAACTTGGCTTAAATGGCTAGAAGAAATAAAATAAAAGTGATTTCACATGTTTCAAACTAACAAAAATGGGGTACTAAAAAGTCTGATTTGTTTTTGCACTTCCTTTTTTCATTAGGCTATTTCTAAAACTGGGATTCTTCACTGTATAGAAACACATCAAATTTTGATCACATATTCAGACCTTTTGGAAAAAAATGTCTGGTGGATAATGATGCTAGAGATTAGCTTGGAATTGGTGCTGATGGTACGGTATAAGCAGCTAGTAGAAATATCATAGCCATTTTCTCACAAGACAGGTCAAATAAATCTGGGTTCCTTTTGGTAAATTACCACCTTCTTTCTTTTGCCTGCTTCTGCTTTTATCCAAATATGTATGTGTTAATGCCGATGATGAGAATTCAATGTTTGATTCTCTGCTTCACTAGTCTATTTTTTTTAAGGCAAATGGCCTTTAAAATTACAATTAAATGACAAATTACAATTAAAAAAAACCCCAAACTCAAAGATAGTGATATTACAGGTATTCCATAGGAAAGGGAAATTTTGGGTTCCTTTATTTTTTAAAAGTAAAATATAAAGCTTCTGAAGTCTAAAAATGCACAGTATGGTTTTTTATCAGATAAACTTCTAAATACCAGTATTATGACACTATGTCACTAAGGCATACCATCTTACTTCATAGGGTGAATTTGGTTCATGAGACTAAGTCTGTAACGTGTTGTGCTGAGTAGTTCACACCCTGAGTACTAGATAGATGAATGAGTAGATAGGGAAAGAGTTAGAACACAGGTTAGAGAGAAATCAAAGATTGTTTTCCATCAAAAGAGCATACACCTGTTATATGATCTTGGAAATGGATTTTAAATTGTCCTATAAAAGAGGTAGTAAATATCTGCAGGAAACAAGAGTAATAAAACTGTGTTTTCTTGAAAGTCCCTGTGAGGAGCACACATTTCATCAAGGTTCCTGGCCTCTCTCCCTCTAGCTGCTCCTGACTCGGATGACGTTGCTCTCTACGTCGGGATCGTCATAGCCGTGATCGTGTGCCTGGCTATTTCCGTGGCTGTGGCCCTGTTCGTCTATCGCAAGAACCATCGTGACTTTGAGTCAGATATCATTGACTCCTCAGCGCTAAATGGGGGATTTCAACCTGTTAACATCAAGGCTGCAAGGCAAGGTTAGTTTTCATTTCACTGCATTTTGACCAATTCAGGGAGGTACTGTAAGGTTGTGTTCTCTTGGGCTGCATGAATGATACTCACTGGATGCTTGTTGACACTTGATAAAAGGGAGAAAGATCCATATTCATTTGTTTCTGATAATCAAGTGCTCAAAACCCATGTTGGCATTTTTCAGATGTGTTCAAGAGTATAAAGCAGAGATATTTAACTTCTGAAGAGAGAAATGAATGTGAGAGTGAAACACAGAAACATTTATGGGAATGTAGGTCCAGCTCAAATTTAAATCAAAGGCAAAGCTCTGATAGAAACAAGAGTGATAATACAGTAATTGTATCACATCTTCCTCCCCTTTATTTCTCTAATAGCCTTTTTTCCTGTGCTCTGTTTCCACAGGTATAAGTAGTAGTTTGAGAAGGACTGTGCATTTCAATAGACAATGTAGAAAAAGTTGTGGTAGAACATCATTTAATAACAAGCATTTTTATCACTGGTGCATAACAGCTTTATTATTTCCACACTTCACTGGCCAGAAAAAAACACTCAAAAGGTAGTGCTGCCTTTTTCAAGACCCATATTTAGTCTGAAGAGTTCTTCTTTTTTGCCCATATCTACTCCAGAAGAATAAATCAAAGAGTTAAGATGACAAGAGAGTTGTCATGTGGAAGATTACCAGAAGTGTTGTTTTCTTTGCTGGAGAAACTTTTAATGTGAATCTCAAAAAAGTGTAATGCAGGTACTAATCCCTCACTGCAGGGAGTTGTGGACATGATGGCTTCGTAGGCCTGTTGTGTCTTTTATTTCAGGAATGCTGTCATTAGACCAGTTAGATAAAATATTGCATAGCATTTAGGAAGGGGATATTAGTTAAAAACTAGATCTACTAGATGAGGAAAACATCTAGTTCTGGTGCTAAGCATGTCGTATTTGAAATCTTAGTGCGCCCTGGAAAAATAATCCCAGTGAAAAATCTTCATAGCAGAAACATGCTGTAATTTTGTATGACAATTGGATTCCATAGCAGCTGGAATACAACCCCTGGGAGTTTGCTGGAAGGATGCGTGGAAATGGAGATGCAGGTCAGGGACTTTGAGTATCTGAACCTTTGGAATAAAAGGCAAAATGCAGAATGCAAACCCAAATTGTTCCTCAGAACAGTGTCATCAGAATAGAAGTAATATGGTTCTTCCTTCTCATTTCCTTTGCAGACCTCCTGGCAGTGCCACCAGACCTCACTTCTGCTGCAGCCATGTACAGGGGTCCTGTTTATGCCTTGCATGATGTCTCTGATAAAATCCCAATGACCAATTCTCCAATCCTGGACCCGCTCCCTAACTTGAAGATCAAGGTTTATAATACCTCTGGTGCAGTCACTCCCCAGGATGAACTTTCTGACTTCTCCTCCAAGCTGTCCCCACAGATTACACAGTCTCTTCTGGAGAATGAGACCCTGAATATGAAGAACCAGAGCCTTGCTCGGCAAACTGACCCATCGTGCACTGCATTTGGGACCTTCAACTCCTTAGGAGGTCACCTAGTAATTCCCAATTCAGGTAAGTGCTAGCCATGTTGGCTTAAAGGTACAGTTGTTCTGTGGGTTTAAGTGGAGTTAGCGTGCTTTTTTATGTGTGGGACAAAAGTCCACACCTGGGACTCTGCCTTTTCTTTGATTAAACAACCGAATGGTGCTTTTTTCCCCTTCTTTTGCTTCTACCAAAGGACTTCAAATATTTTCTACCCAAAGTCCTGGCCACCTTTTAAACACTACAGGCTTGAGGAAGAGTGGCTGTAGAGCTGCCTAGCGGAAAAGAACCTGGGGGTGCTGGTCAACAGTCAGCTAAACATGAACCAGCAGTGTGCCCAGGTGGCCAAGAAGGCCAAAGGCATCCTGGCTTGGATCAGAAATAGTGAGCCCGGCAGGACTAGGGAAGTGATCATTCCATTGTACCACAAAGACCACAACTCAAATACTGTGTTCAGTTTTGGGCCCCTCACTACAAGAGCACAACTCTTGGGAGTAGCAGCTGAGGGAGCTGGGGTTGTTTAGCCTGGAAGAAAGGAGGGGACCTTATCACTTTATATAACCACCTGAAAGGAGGCTGTAACAAGATGGGAGTCAGTCTCTTCTCCCAAGTAACAGTTAAGGACATGATCTAGTGGTGAATGTGGTGTTGCTAGGTTAATGGTTGGACTTGATGATCTTAGAGGTCTTTTCCAACCTAAATCATTCTGTGATTCTAAACAGGGCTCTTAGCTACTTTCTGAGTCATGCAAGGCCTCAGACCTTCATTGTGTGAAATGAAATTCAGCATTACCTTTTCCTTTCCTGCAGTCCTAGAAAAGGGGCCTCAATACAGTAAGCCTCTATTTTGTCATCACACATGAAAAAGGACAAAATAATTTAAAAAAAATCAGTTGTTCCACTTCCAATTCATTGAAGACTATGTGTAATTGACAGCAGAATACTATTTTTGGAAGTAGTAGGTTTTTTACCTGCACACATTATATACCCAAGGAAAATAAGGCCCAAGAGTGTCTTTTCCATATTTCTCTCCTTGTTGTATGTATTGTTGACTTCCTTTACAACTAGGAAATGGAGAGACTGAGCATTGAGGGCCTGTTAATGTAATTGCAAAGCGCTGCTCAGTCTTTGTCATATGGAATGAAGCTGGGCTTCTGGGCCCCTTCAGGCCACCTTGGCACTGGAAGCAGTTTCAGAGCATCCAGGGAGCTGTTGGGCAGCCTTGGGAGAGCTCAGCTCTTGCAGACAGATCTTTTTAACCAGAGCCACAATGCTGTTTTGTTCCTAAATGAAGCATTGATGTTCAAAGGAAGTTCAGCACCTGGATGTTCCAGTGGGTTTAGTATGATACCAAAGAGCAGCATTAACATTTGAAGTGAGGATAAATCACATGCATACAGTGTTGGGTGGGGGGATATGCAGGCTACACAGCGGTCAGGAATACCCCTGCCCAATTTCTCTGAATTCAGGTAGGACCACAGCACATGTGAGACCACAGCTCACAGCTTGGCCATTTTACAGCAAGTGCCCTGAGCAAGGAGATAGTGCCTTGTCTCCTGCTCCTTTGCTGGATCATTTCTTATTTGTTGATGGAGATTGGAGAAAGCAAAATGCCTAGGTGGCCCGGGACCTAGGTGGTTTTGTCTTTCCAGGATACAGTCACACATAGCCCAAGAAGCAGTCAAAAGTAGTTGGAGCCATGACCCTCCTCTCTGAGCTACTGTGGAATAGGAGGAAAAAATATCTCTTAAATTTAGGTGAAAGCTGAACTACTTCAGTAAATCTGGTGCTGACTGCTGAGCAATGTTGAAAATTTGTGCTATACAGTCTTGGATTTCACATTTTTCTAAGTAGCAGCTGAAGGTAGATATTAATACTCAGGTTTCTTATGCCATGGTGGTGCACATTATCAGCAAAGTCTATTAGTCACATTTAATTCACATATATTAATATCAATTTGTGAACAGAAAAAGTTCAATGCTGTAATCCCTTCAAAATGGTTAAAGTAATGATTTTGTAAAATAAAGCAATCCATCTACTGCTACCAGTGCCACTTCTAGATGTATGTATATCCTCCTTGTGGCGTGATCAAAGCCCTTCACTTGCGCTACGCCTACACTGTTATAACTACGAACGTGCACAGATTAGGTTGTAACAGGCCTGTAAACAAACAAATGCCAGAAGGCATTTGTGGAAAATGTTTTCCTAGCTAATCCCTCCCCTTCAAAACCAGGTATGGGACTGAGCACCTGTACACCAACACATGGGAGGTCTTCAGTGTAACCAAACCACGTATGCTAAAGAAAAGAGACAGGGCTGTGCAAGGGGTCTATAAAGACTCTCCTGTGTAAATATGTATAAATAATCTGCCCGTAGATTTGTTTTCAGCTATGTAGTAATAACTGTATTCAAATCCTTGCCGCTGATATCCAGCTAATCCACATCTGCAAAGACAGCTGGCTGAGATATGTCCAGAAGAGTGAAATAGCTGGTTGGTGGGCTATGTTTATTGTGTAGTGACAAGACATTTCTGCAATGGTAGTAATGTAAGAGCAGTGTTTTTTAATCAAGTGTGCAGCAAATCATTACTGAAAAGGGCATTGAGCATATTTGCCCACATTTTTTTCAAGGCTGGATACCCCAGTTTTGAGCCACTTTATGGGACTAGGCACATTAACAGTGCCAAGAAATCCAATTTTGTCTCCAAGGTACTCTTGGAGCTGAGCACAGTAAAAGACAGGATGCTAGGCACAAGAAACCATCTTTCAGGAAACAACTAGTTCTTGTTGTTTCCTGGGACAGTGCTCCACTGCTTTTCTTTCCTGATTTTAATTAAGTAAGAATTGCCTAGGGAGAGATGTCTGTCCCATTACAGCTGTTGGAAATTTTAGTCAGAGTTGTTTGTTTTTCCATCACTTTACAAGGTAAGCAACAGCGTAGCCATCTGTCTGCTCTTTAAATAAAATAAAAGGGAAGAAAATCCTCTTCTCCACTCCCTTGTTTCCATGCGGATGCAAAGGGGAGTGAGAACAGGCAGCTGTATGCTGGAGACACCAGGGTTACAGTAGATACTTTTTCTCCCAATGAAATCATTTAGAGTCTGCTGGTTAGGTTGGCTGAAAATCTGGCATTTCAGGCTTCATCTTCTGCCTCTCCTGTCACTCCTCTTCACAGACCCACTTGCCCTTTTTTCTCCATTTTTACCTTTTGTGTCTCTTCTGTTCTGCAGGAGTAAGCTTGCTGATCCCAGCAGGGGCCGTTCCACAAGGGAGAGTCTATGAAATGTATCTGACAGTTCACAGAAAGGAGAACATGAGGTAAAAAACTGCCTTTATTTTCTTCTGCATTAACAGAGGGGGAAAATGTAGTAACTAAAGACCTGTAGTAACTAAAGACCATATGCTTATGCAAAGCCTACTGCGTTGAAGCTGTTTGCTGACTTGGAGTTAAACGCAAGCAAAGCCAAGGATAAACTTTGCCATGAAACCAGCTCAGACTTTTGCTTTTATAACCAAGAGTTGTACTCTGCAGCAAGCCCTCAGTCTGGGGGGATGCTGAATCACCGTGGAGAGGAAAATGTGCCAGCATGAGTTTGGTACAGCAGAAAAGGTGTGAGGTAACCTCTTGATAAAGACCAGTGCTGCAAAGGAGAAAGGAGCAGTGGAGCAAGGTGACAAATCAGCTCAGCAGAGGGGACAGGTGCCTAAGCACCTGACTTGGAAAATCTCCTCTCCTATTAGAGTGAAGGTGAATTTTTATTTTACCCTTCATGGGCTTGGCTAGTCATGCAGTGAGGAGATGGAGCCGAAGGTTTTGGTGTCCTCCACCTCCTTGCTGCTTAGCCCCAGACAACGCACACCAAGGGCCACCCAGAGCCAATGCTGGGATGACCCCTGTTGTTGTCACCTGTTATCTGCATGTGTAGCCAGTTCATATTCTAGATCTTAATATCTCCTGCATGATCTGGCAACCCTGACATAAAAAAAAAAGACTTGTAATAAAAAGGCCAAAATACCATCTGAAGCCATTTAGAAAACCCTAATGAAGAGAAAGGTGAGATCTTAGGCTGCAGAATGGACTCATGCACAAAGGCTGAATGGCAAATGTGAAACTAAGGCTGTCATTACACGGTACTTTGCCTCTTTCTCTTCTTCATAGCTAGATATGTTTTTTGGCTCAGCCTCTTAATAGCTTTTATTATGTGCTAAGCCGCAGCTGTTTATACAGTGTGTGATATTGAACACTATTCTTTAGCTTGGTAGTCTTTCACTCAAGCTAAAATAATCTGCTTAAAGAAAAATTAAGCAATCCTCCCACCCACCCTTTTGCATACATTATTCATCGCGTGCTCTTTGAAAATAGCTAATTGCAGCTACAGAAAAATGTCTCTGTTCAGAGCTAGTATTGATTCTATTCCTATTACTTTTGGCTGTGTTTTAAAGACATTTACAAGCAGTATTGAAAAAGACTCTTTTCTGAAGAAGGAAAAAAAAATAAAATCAGATGGCATCCCCTGTTATTCAACTTGCCTCTAAATTTCTCTTTCTAAAATACCTAATTCTTAAAAAACAAAAACACAAACAAAATTTAAAAAAAAAATTTCATTCCTATAAGGAGCTATATGTGCAATTATTTCCTTTCTAGCCAGTTATGGAGGGAATCCTTGTTTCCTTATTCATGCAGCTGTGGACAACTAATGTCACATGCTAGTCTAATTTATTTTCCTCAAGGATCATAAAGCCTTCTCTGCATGCTCTGTGTTAGCTGTTACTCAGCAAGTCACACAGGGAATAGAAGGATAGGTTAACCTGTATTGGGAAAAGCATGGTTGGAGAGGTTCTGCCTGCCAAACTGAACAAGTATGCCAAAGTACACCTGCAGAAGTGAACAAAAAGGTGTGAGCCCTCACTTACAGTGAAGACTTTAGAAGTGGTTTCTTTCCCAAGGAGAGAGCAGAGAGCAGGCTGCCTTGGCCGTGGGGCAGCAGGGCCTCATCATGTTGTGGTGGTATCACTTTCTCGGTGCACCGACTCCAGTTGCTTATTTGGTTTGTGGCAGTTTTTTAGCTGCCCACAAGCATACCAAGCTTTTCCTACTCTTGGAAACCAGCTTTTTCTAGGACACGTAAAATGGAGCTCATCAGGTGTTGTCTAGATCACTCAGAATGGAATATTCACTAAAAAGGGCTTAAACATGACAGAACTGTAGCATCTTCCCATGTTACCTTCTCCTTTTTCCCAGGTGCCAAGGAGCAGAAATGGGTGGGTGGCACCCAGCTGTATCTGTCTCCTGCTGCAGGACCTGTTACTAAATGCTTCACTTGATGTAGCAGAGCTGCAGCTCAGTCAAAGCTGCTTTTTCTGACTACATGGGCCACAGATGTTGCTTCATATAATTGGAGTCATATGGGTACCACAAGTTACTGTGTGGTGTAATTATTTTTTAAATCTGCTACTACAGTCTTACACTGCTCTAGCAGAGAGTGATAGTCCCCAATAAGGACTAGCTGCAGACATTCACTTTTGTGGCCAAGCGGTAACAGCAGTGTGTTCAACAAACCCTGTGAGACCCTGTATTTATTTTCATGAGCACAGTGTAAATGTGTACAGGTTGAAAAGTCCTGTTATGTGTTGATGTAGTTTGAGAGGGGACACATAGGAAATTATAAAAATGGGTGTTATAATCAGAAGTAAAGTCAGGGTCTTGTTTTTGATATTACAGCTACCACTGAGGTGAGAATGTGGTCTCCATAGCACTACCATGGTGAAACCAGTGCAGCAGCAGAGAGGTTCCCCATCACAGATCACGGATTTCCAGCAACTTAAGATTTAGCTCACACAACTACTTCTGAACAGTCAAGCTGAAACAGAAAATCTGTTATCTCTCAGACTCCTGCAAATTCCCCCTTTTCTTTTCCTTTCTTTGTTTTCTTAATATATTTCACCAGTCTCTGAAAGGTATAGTACAGAAATTTGAGAGACTTCAAGATCCAGTAATGTCACTCTTTGTGTTGCCTTGTGAATTAGTTAGGAGTGCTTTCTGAGACACTCTATTTATTCCATTTCATATTCATCAAAGCACGTGAGCACCGTAAAAGCATTATCCTTCTGCAGTGAATTGGGGTTGTGGTAGCTTGCAGTAGACACCACTTGGAGGCAGTTGTTTTCTCTAAGTGTGTTAGCATACTTGTGGCACAGTGGGCTTTCTTTTTTACTAGACTGATACTCTAGGAGGTTGTTATTCCTGCTTCTGTCCTGCAAGCTCACCCTCATTCTACCTGTCATTTGGAGCAGGATGGATGACAAGCAGCTACTGGGCTCCGATCCCTGGCTGGTGTGCTGACCTCATGAAATGATCCATGTGTTTTATGAAGTGGCTACAGTGGGGAAAAGGATATATGGGTGTTTGTACACATATATGTATATGTGTGTGTTTATATATATATATATGTAACTGAAAAAATGACAAACCCATTTCACAGCTATCAGACGGGTTTCTGTCTTGAAGCTCAGTGGATTTTTCAGTGGTGATCAGATGCTTGCTTCCTTAGTCTGGGGAAGTGTGACCAACTTTGAGATTTGCAAGAAGGGGTTCCTGTTTGAGCTGTGGTTTCATCTGTAAAATAAGCACATTGTGGTGACCGGTACCTGGTAAGAGCCTGTTCCCATGAGCATCTGTGAGAGCCTAGGTCTTACATGGCTAAGGGTTAAATAGCATGAGTGTAAACCTCCAACCTCCAATATTTTCTTTACTGCCTCAGGTTAAAAAACAAATGTAGCTGTGAGCTAAATTAGTGGAGCTGTGTGCTTCCTTCAGAAACATCTGGCAGTGGTCAGTGCTAGATGGGGTCTGGCTCTTGATGGACCACTGGTTTTATCTTATATGGCAGTTCCCGTGTTCCTGTGTGAACCCCTGCCGAGCTTGCACAGCTTTAGGTGGAGCTGCTCTTGCATACTCTAATCACAGGCAAGAACTGCACTAAACAGACACAGCACTGTGAAGGACACTTCTGTATAATCCATCACACAGGAGGTGTTGCAAATGAGAGTGGATGTCGCTGTGCCCACAAAATGTGAGAACCCTGAAGAATAGAGTAAGCAGCGCTCCTGAAGATCTTGATGGAAGACACACATAAATGTGCAAATTCCAAATTAGCTACCTAAAAAGAGAGAAGGGTCAGGTAAGCCTTGCCAGGATTTGTATCAATGGCTTTATAGCATAGACATAGAGTGTACATTAAAGTCAAGCAGCTGATCAATGAGTTTGATCCAAGGAGCAATGTTGCCTTTTTCACCGGTAAACTTTAAGCTTAGTGATGTAAAATAAAAGAAATTGAAATCTTCCACATCTCGTTTCTTCGCCTTCCTTCTGTATCTCAGTTGCATAAACAAAATTACTTTGCAGCTCCAGAAGACAATTTCATGAACTGCCAGTCTCTGTAATAGAAAAATTCAACATAAAAAAGATCAGCGCATGAGCAAAAAGGGAGAACAAACTTTTCAGATTATTTTCCTTCTAAAGTTAGGCTGGCAAAAGAACTAGGGTCAGTAGAGGATATTAAGTTTGAAACTTAAAAAGGAACACATATTAAAAAATAAAGACCAAACAATTTTATTTCTCCAGAAAGGAGAAATAAAATATCTTCCCTCTAACTTCTGGCTAAGCTGTGTAGAAGGGTTGCCATCTGTTGCTACAAGGTAACCATTCCTCTCTCCCTTCTCCATCTCGTGCTTCCTGAGCTGCTGTGATCGCCTGTAGCATGTACACATGGTGGTAGGGAGAACAATATAGTCCCACTGAGCAGCAGAGATTTATCTAGTTGTGCTTACATCTGCTGTCTGACAGCTACCCTAATGAATATGGTCTGGCTTATTACAGGGAGACAGTTTTGAATGTGTAATCCCATTAAAGACACAAATTTGATTGTGAAGGGACCAGATATAGTGAATAAAAGTTTGTTTGCTTTTAAATATAAGTTGACTGTTCTTGATAAGCTGTGAGGCATGGGCAAACATCTTAAAATATCTGAAGACTTTCCAGTTACTGTTAGGGCCTTCTAATAAAAATGCTAAACAGTGAATTGAATTTTAGTCTCAGGTCTTTGTAAAACAAAAACATCTCTTTGACATACAACTTATATCATGGTCATACACCATGTCTTTGGAGTCGTGCAGCTGAAAGTGCAAGTCTCCTCTAATAAATTGTCCCAAGACTGCTGAAAGCCTAAAGCGAAGCACATATGGGTGGGGTTTTGGGAGCATTTGGGTTTAGGGTTCTTTTTTGGATAACAGCCTAAAAGTAGGTTCTGACCTGCAGTTTTCAAGATGTCTATTTATAGATCTTTCTGGTTTAGAGGAGCTAACTCCCTTGCTTTATATGCTCCCCTGTGTCTCTGTGCTGGATCTCCTGCGATCTGTAGCACATAAATCACAATGTTGGATCACAACAGGCACTCCTCTAGGCTGGGATCCTGGCTTTGCTGGTGCTGCAACTCCTGCTTTGGGAAAAGGAAGAAAATTGCCCATAATGAGTGACTACACAATAACTTGTCTTCAGGGGAATTTGTTGTTTACTAATTCCATCAATTAGTGTTGGGTTCATGCTTTGAAGCAGAAAGATTAATATCTCTTGTATAATATATCTTGTCTACTGCATCTGTTTCTGTTCTCATTAGCTATAGTAAGGCATAATCCTTTTGTTTTAAAATGGAAATTGAAAACAGTGAGAAGTGAGAAAAAAATCTATCAAGAGATTTTCGTTTATTTGTCCTGTCAGTTGTCACAGAGCATCTCTCTGCTCTATGGGTGCCATTGGGTTGTTTAGCCTCATTCCCCTGAATTTCAGGTGTTTATTTCTGAGATCTTGTTGCAATCTCTAAACACCCTGCTACCTGCAGTCATGTTGGAGCTGGATAGGAAAGGGAATATCACTGTGGTGTGCTCTGACATGCATTGTCCCATACAACACCAGAAATCAGATTTCCTTTTTACCACTGTATCACATTACAAGTTGATGCCTGCTGCGTTGCAGCAAGATCACCTGAAATCTTGTTCAGTTTTATTTCTTTCTTTGCTACCAAATAACTCTTTGGAATTTGTTTTGCTCTAGCGTGAGCTGCTGTACAATTAATAGGATTTTATTTCCTTCTCATATTTTTACCCTCTCTGGAACTTTTGCATTATTTTCTGGCTCCCACTGTTACTTGCAATGATTCCTTATTAATTGTTACCTGTAAATGTAATGATCGTGTTGCTATTTGCATTGTTTTCCACATTGCGAGTAGAACTCCTGGCCTCACAGTAGTCGTAGAGAGGTTTAGCATGGACTTGAATAGAGCTGGGATTTCATCTAAACAGTGTCACTGACCCATTTCACAGCACTCGAGAACTTCTCTGCAACTCATTACATATCAATTTTTAAAGGTTTATCTGTATGAGGTGGATGGTGGAGAGTCATTAGGACTGGCAGGTGTTCAGTAATTTTGTTATATCAGTCTGATGTGTATCTGGTCGGGAATTTGGGTCTTAAAGTCAGGCACCCCCACAACTGGCCTGTTTTTCTGCTCTTCACTAATCAGACTGTCCTGTATCATAAATAGCCAGGTCACAACCATGCCTACCTCATCCAGTAAATCTCATAAGTCTGGTGACAAAGATACTGTTTAACAACTTGGGTAAAAAATATTAGGCCTTGATATTTTTCACATGTCCTTCGTATTCTTGTATACACCTCCCATCTCAGTTGCTCAATATGCAGCACATTCCAACTTGGTGTTGTGTATGATTTTTTTATACTTTTCCTAATCGGATATAAAATGTCGCAGCATAGAATCATGCCCTTCATTGGAGTCCTAAAATTTGACAGTTAACAAAATTTTGCCATGGAGCAGTGACTAAGCTTGACTTTACTTGGAGACAATTTTGGACTATCTGATTTATCAGTACTGTATTATTTTTTAATGACCTTCTGGGTTTTTTGAACCACATGCATCAGTGCTTGTTGATTTTTACTCATTTTTCACCTAAAAGGCACTGTATTTTTTTTTATGGCAATCATGATATATTCACTCCTATATTCTTTTTAACTGCCGGGTTTGTAATTCAGTCCAGAAAAATATGATAACTTGTATTTTTTTTCCTTCCTTTTACTTGGGTCAGTCCTTTTAGATGAAGTTAGGTTAACCAGATGATTAAGTCTATAGTTGGTCATATCTGTAGCTTTCCAGACAAATATTGTAATTTTGAGAGATCTTTCTCATAAGACACTATGGTTTCTTTGAAATGTCTTGAATTAGACTGTAGGAGAATGTTCAAATGTCCACTAATGCCCAAGGTCAATGACCATTAAAAACCACCACCACACTGTGTTTTCTAGGCTTCTTGTTGCTTCTTATGAAAAAAATAGCAAAGTAAATGAGTTGGAAAAAACCGAATGTGGTAGTGAAAAACTGTTCCATGATTTATTCAGTCTGGTCTTGCAAGAGAGTGATACCTCATCTTCTTAATCTGAATCCAGAGATTCCCTGGGGTATGCAAGAGGAGATAGACTATCTGTTAGTGTTTCATTTGTTTTGTGTACTGTTTGTTAGGCTAAAATTGCTGGTGTAATACATGATAGCTGTCCAGATTGTTATACTTTACATCTTTTTTAGAAAGGCATCTATATCACAGCTGTTTGTTTCCAGTCCATCGATTTTCAGAAACAATTGTTCAGTCATTTAGTAAACTCATCAGTTAATTTCCACAGATGCATATCATCTGGATTTACTGATTTGCATACAGTTAAATTTTTCAATGACAGACCTTTTTTTTCTCAAATGTCATAAAAACTTCCCACAACATCTGTAGCAACAAGGGACAGTTTTCAAAAGTGCCTTCACCCCATTTTGAAAAAAGATTTTGTGAAAGTTTGTCTTTCATTTTATGTGAGATTAATGGGATAGGCAGGGAGAAGTAAGGAAGACAAAATTAGATTATACCTGTGAACACAGATTTGCAATAGCCAGAATAGGTGCAATAAATTGGATATCAAAATAGCTTCTGTCCTAAATTGGCTTCTTTGAAAACATTATCTAAGATTACAGCTACGTTCTTTGGTCTTTCATTTGGTAAAGACAGAGACTTGCAGAAATAAACAGTGATGTTGTCTCCACGAGTTTCCCTAAGAGCAATGCAAATATATTCTCATTTGTAAATGCAGCAAGGGATTCTCATTTGTAAATCCAGCAAAGGAACCCTTTGCTGGAGCAGAGGATGTGAGGTCCCGTGGGCAGATCTGGAGTTTAAGCGCAGATCACACTGAATGCTTTTAATCTCTCACTTGCTGTTTTCTGGATCATGAACTTGTCCTCTATTATTTAGGGAGGCAGTTGATGAGGCACATTCAGCTGTATTTGTCATACACCAGATGTCAGGATAGTTAAAGTCACTTGTGCTTCCTCTTGTTTTAAGCTCCTCAGCAGCTGGTCTGGGATGGTTTGCACATGCACACATGTGTGCACACACATGCACACTATCATTTAAAAACTACAGTGTACACTGTGTATCCTAAATATTAACATGATTTTCCATAACACCCATTCCTAGTGACTGGCAGCAAGCACACTGGATAATAACTGTGTTTTTAACTGATTTGGGCTTTGAGAGTGTGTTTTGCCCTTTGCACTATCCCTTACCATCCCTTCATCCTTTCTCCATCACTGCCAGTGATGCCTACTCCCTGCAGGCATATTTGCAATAGCCATTCTAGTAGATCCGAATGCCTTTTAAGTAAAATGGAGCATCAGTGAGTTTGGTGATAACTCAGAACTCAAACTGCACATCTCCACTTAAGAGGTTTCAGACAGGCTTATTAGTTCATTGTCTTCCTCTGTTCTTCATTTTTCTCTGTCCTGACACTAAATAGTCCTCCCATGTAGTGCTTACAAGAGCCACCGTTCATTTTTGTGTGTTGCTGAACTACAAAATGCAGCAGTGACCACATTTTGGCAGTGGGTGAAGTGAAGCTTCTGCATACCATCTGCAAGGATCCTTCAAGATCAGCAAATGTGATCTATAATCTGCTGACACCTAAGCCTGCATTTTGACCAATGAGTGACATTTGGCAAAAAAAATTGAAAACAAATTTGGATTTGAAAAAATAAAGGAAAACTAAAACCTCCTGTTTTGCCTGCACAATCTTTTTATTTTAAGAGAAGGATTTTTTATTTTTACATACTCAAATGAACCTTTTTGTCTTTTTCAACTCACTTAATGTATCCATCTTTCTGTCTCCTCATCAGGCCGCCTGTAGAAGACAGTCAAACCCTGCTGACACCAGTGGTGAGCTGTGGCCCACCAGGAGCCCTGCTAACCCGGCCCGTCATTTTAACCATGCACCACTGCGCAGAACCAAACACAGAGGACTGGCAGATCCAGCTGAAGCACCAGGCTGCCCAGGGACCATGGGAGGTGAGGTTCTGGAGCTCCAGCCTGTGTGCTGACTGAATGAAGGGCTCTCTGCTAGTCTTTCACTTCCCTTTCTGAACCTAGATGCCTGTATTTTGGTTTTCCATGTGAGATACTTGGCTGTTACAGGCAGGCAGGAGTGCCCTTCAGCACTAGGTATCTAAGCTGCCCAGTGCCCACACAGAGATGCTATCTTGAGGCAGTTTGACACTTCTAGTTCTAGGTATTTTCCATGCAATAGCCTTCATCACCAGATTTTGGCACTTAAGCTACTGATTGTGGCAGGATATTGTGCCAAAGTCATGGGATCAGAAGAAATATATAAGATAAAAATCAGTGCCTGGAAACAATTTCTGTCTTGACTCTAGAAATAAGAATGGATTTTTACAGAATAGTTTTCACTCTCCTGGCTTTTTGTCTGTTTTCAAGAAAGGGAAAATAAGGCTGCAAATTATCTCCTTCAGCGCCAAGACATCATCCAGCTAAATAAAATGTATAGGCCTTATCTTTCTTTCCTTTTTCCCTCCTAAGATGTTGGTGGAGATCATTTGATTCAGTTCATGCAGCCAGTATTGAATTCCGGACCTTGAAAAGTCAGGGGAGCAGAGCAAGCATTGTTGGGTAGTGCAGGCTTGGTGGGAGCCTGATGTGGTTCTTTGCCAGCAGTGTAGCTGGAGAATGTCCCAAGGCAGTGTGGCACAAGGATCTTCCCGCTGTAACTGGAGCATAAAGTGATGCTTTCAGCAAGTCTGGGCCATCCTGACAGAGCCCTCCTCTCCAGCCCTGTGCTCCTAGGTACCTGCTGCCACCAGTTTGGTCTCATAATTAGTTTGGCAAGGGCCCTTTCTCCTACCAGTAGGCTTAATAAGGTCAGGGTGGCTTCTGAAGGCAGTTGGGCTGACAACAGCAAAAGTGCCATGTCTGACATTGCCTTCAAAAGCCTGTTGTGTGTGTCCCCCTGCCTGTGGCACTGGCTTTTCCTCATGCTGGGAGGGAGCATGAAGCAAAACCAGGTCTATCTCGCCAACTAATCCACACCCCACCAGCCTGACTCTTGGCACTGCACATATGTTCCTTATTTATGCCTGTGTGTTACTGGCATTCCTTCATTTTCTCCCCCATCCTTCTGCCCTTGACAGAGGTTGCTCTGCCGGCCACGCACACACTGGCACTAGTGCAGCCTCCGCAGCATCCACAGGGGCCCTGGCCATCACACAGCCACCTTCTTCTCTCAGTTCTAGAGCAGCTCCTCGAAGCTGAGCCTCACACACAGACACAAGCACAAACACACACACATACACACATTCATGCACAACCCCTGCAACACTCGAGACCAGCACCTTCTGCCAGAGCCAGGAGCTGGCATGGCCATGGGGAGGTGCAGTCAGCAGTAGCACCTTGCCCTCCAAAAAGATTGTGCCACCCCTGAAAACATGTCAGATTTGCCTTCCCTGAGACTAGGGTGCCCAAGGTTAGTGCCAAATATCAGTTGAGTGTACTACTGCCAGGTGTGTACATTGTGCTGCAGACCTGCAGGCAGCAGGGATGAAGCAGGCAAGTTGTGCTGAGCATCATGTAGCACGTGGTGGCTTTGCTAGAGGCAGCTGTCATCTGCTGCTACTCTTTTGCTTCTGCGCTCCCTCAAAGCCATTCAAAGCACCTTGTGTTGCGTGCAGGATAATACTTGCAGGGTTGAATGGAGAAATTAGCAGGGGAGATGTTTTCCTGCACGCCCAGGGTGGGGAGGTCAGGCATTCAGGCTGTATGTATTTTTTTTCTTCGCCCTGCAGTCTCGTCACGGAGGATTATTCTGGAGAAGCAGCAGGTGATATTTCATGTAGATGTGGCATTTGGCCATTGTAGGGGTTACTTCCCTTCCTTGAGTTTTTATAACTCCTTATTGTCATGCTTAGGAAGTAAAGAGCAGTTATTTATTCAACACGCCTGAGACTACTAGTGTTAAATCATGGTCACTAAATTATTAGTTCTGCAATATATTTTTCAATGAAGTCTTGGTGATATTTTCATTATTTGCCTGACTCTGCCCAGGGCTTTAAAAGCAGATGCGGGGCCCAAAGGAAGGAGTTCCAAGTCTTAAGGGAGGGAGGGCAGGAGGAATTGTCTACCACCAACATCGCCACTGGCACCCCAGAGAAATCATGTCCTCTCTGTGCCTACACAGGAGAAAAGCTGGAAGCAGGAATTTTATTCTTGATTAATCTAAAGTGCAAACAGCAAAGACTTTTTGCATCATCCAGGCTTGAAAGGGGCATTGCTGCCTCAAAGGAGAGCAAACTGTGAGGGATCACATGCACTAATTTGGCCTCTTTCTCCCTTAGGATGTGGTGGTGGTTGGGGAGGAAAATTTCACCACTCCATGCTATATCCAGCTGGACCCAGAGGCCTGCCATATCCTGACAGAAACCCTCAGCACGTATGCCTTGGTGGGACAATCAATCACCAAAGCAGCAGCCAAACGTCTCAAACTGGCCATCTTTGGACCACTGTCCTGCTCTTCGCTGGAGTACAGCATCCGGGTCTACTGCCTTGATGACACACAGGATGCCCTTAAGGTGACTGTTGATCTCTTGCTTGCTTTCCCTGTCCCTCTCCAGATGTATGAAGACTGCAGTGATAGTGGTGATTAGATCCTCTGCTCCATATATTCACTCTCCCTGGATTATTTTTCTGATTAGAAGAAGAGCTTGGCAGCAAGCTGCTGTTTTACAGTTTAACCTCCACATGCTATAAATTGTCCTTTGCATAGGGATCTCATGCTGTTTTCTGCCCACCAGTCTTTTTTCCTTTGTTTACCTGTATCATATCCTGAATCCTAAGGTTTTTGCATTATTAAAAGGCCATAAGGTACACAGGGCTTCATTCGTTATTCATGTATTTTTAATGCTAAGTGCCAGCTCCCCAGAGATGGAGAAACATATAAATGCTTCTTTGTAAATAGATGATAATGATAAAAGAAGCTTCTGGCCCGTTAATCACTGCCTGCTTTCGTACTGCTTTATTACACCTCTTTGCGTGCAGTTTTTTGTGTTGGGAATTCACAACTGAAATAAACCAAAGCTGTTGCTATCCCTAAATATATAACCTTACTCTTCCTGCATAATTCTGGCATGCACACAAACACATGCTCACTACATACAGATGAGCATATAGATAACCATAATTGCTGTTTCTCTTTATAAATACCTGTATTTATACCAATGGTATGTATAATAGACTCATGAAATACTTAGCTCCAGCTGCACATGCAAGAAGGGAGTTTATTAAAAGATGTTTTGGATTTTTTTACTGTAACCAATGCAATTTCACAAATGCCTCTTTGCAGCAAAATGAGTTCAAAGCCTGACTAAGCAGAGTCATCCTGGTGCTGTATATGCTTTTTTTCCCCTCAGCTCTGCATGGGAATTATGAGGATTTAAACCCACATACACTGGCTGGGAGATGTTTGTGTTTCTCAGAGCAGTGACTTCCATGACCGCGAGTAGCACGCTTAGTTTTCCTCCCCGATACTATCCGATATCAAGTTTTGCCTGCCTAGGCTTTGCTGGGAGTATACTCTTTCATTATATGTAAGAAAGGCAGCCAAGTATAAGGGTTGAAGCAGGCACATCGTGACTTAGGCATGGTTTTGTCTGTACAGGGCCTGGCAGTTTGACCTCTTTCGCTGCAGTGGTGTTGTCAGCCTTTTAGAAACAATTATTTTCCCTGGTCTGATTTCCCTTTTGTTTTTCCTCCATAAAAAAAAAGTGAAAAGGATGTTTCATAGCAATCAAGCTTCAAAAGCCCTGACAGTTTTATGTCTGTGCTGCATAATACAATTTTCCACGGGTTCTACAAGGCCTGAGGTAATAATAAGTGAGTCGGAGAGCCCTTGGACAGCCAGCTAATGCAGTCAGAGCTGAGGAATCTAATTAGGTGTTACTCAAGAGCTGTTGGTCTGTTTCTAATAGACTGTAAGGGAGAGTTGTGAGGTAAAGTTAATCCAATTCGGTACGACAGTAGAAGGGATCAGGAGAGGCACAGACCCACACAGAGGGACAGGCTTCATCTGAGAAGCTGCAACCAACATTTGGGAGGGCAGCAAGTCAATCCTTGGACTTCTACTGCAGGTAGACCCCAAAGTGAAATCATTTGTAATTTTGTGAGGAAAGGTGAGCAAAGTCAGGAAGCCACCATCCCACTCATACCTGCTACTTTTTTTACAGCAAGTTCATGCATTTTAATTTTCTTTTTTTTTTGGCATATCTACCCTAAGACTGGAAGGCTACCCATGGAGTTCAAGATGCAGCTGTCTGGTGGTTTGCAGGAGGACAAGCACACATACTTGCTGACCACAGACACTTACAAAAGTATCAGTTGCCATTCTTTGGAAATGAAAGGTCTAGCGAAGGTGAAGGTTTAAAAAAAAAGGAGCCTAGTAAACTAGCTGTAGATGAGTAAAATAGATGTAGATGAAAGGGTTGACTATGAACTCGTGTATAAACTGGTGCGTATGAACCAGTGCATACAAACCACTTTGTACTAACTATCCCTGTGATACAGACTCAAACTATGACTACTGAGAAAGAAAACAAAAGGTTGGGGTGTTTGCCACGTGCTTTCACAGCAGCTGATACCACAGCAGCCCTGGTGGTGCAGGGGAGATATCCTTAGCACTGCTATATTGCCAAAGGGAAGGCACTCACTGGGCAATCACCACTGGGAGTGTGGGACACGGCATGCAGACAGGGCTGGGCCAGTAGATCCTGAAGTTACAAGTATTTTGGAGAGGGAGGAAAAGTTGCAGACAGCAGGCAAGGCACCAGCTACAGCATCCCGGTGTCTCGAGGCTGGCTGCTCTGGACAAAGCATGGCAGGGGGGGAAGAGCAGCGTGAGATGTTCCCACACTGAAATGTCTGAGGTTTGGAAGGGTCTTTGTAGGGAATTATGTGTATTTTAATAGACAACCAAATGCATTCTGTTATTATTTACAACTAGGAATGAGTGTGCCATATGCTGAATGTGTCTTAACAGCCACCAAAGGAAGACAAGTATTTGCAGTATAAAACACAGTGCAGTGTTTATCCAGCAGAAGCTTCCCTCTCATCATGCAGAGTAAGCACTTGCTGCTGAACTGCCAGCATCTGCAGTACAGTAGGAAAGTGTAATGACTTCTCATCAATAAGGACTCAGTTATTGTGGGAGCAACTTAGTGAGGTTCCTGGGGGCTGCAAAGCAGTGTGGGCTCAGCGCTGATCACACATGCAGCACCCTCTGCCCCTCAGGTCCCAAGCCACCCAGATGGGATGCTCACAAAAATGCTTTTTGGGCAAGGGTAGAGGTAGCTGTGACCTCAAACACTGGCCTCTGTTTTTTAAGGCTTATTTTTGCACTTGGAGGGAGGTGCCCGAGCTAATCTGCTGAAACAAATAAATGAAAAAAAGGTAATAATTTCATAACTATAAAGAAATCCAGCTGCTTTATTCTGTTTATTCACGTGTGGCTCTGAGATTGGGGTATGTGACCTGTGTGTGGCAGTGTGGCAGGGACTGAGCCCTACAGGCACATGAAAACAGATGCCTCCCTCACTAAGGGCAAGCAAATGACTTCAGGCAGTAGCAGAGTGGAATCCCCCAACCTGCCTCATGCTGCACAGTAACTGTCTTCAAAAAAACCACACAAAAAGGGGCACAACAGGCTTATGATCTCTCAGTTATTTCATGCACATTTCCTCTTATTGAAGGAAGGCAGCAGCTTAGACTGAACACCATTGCTTGCCCGTGACCCATTAATGAGTAGGCCCAGGTTGTGGCTGTTCTGGTTACACTGATGATGGAGTGATGCCTTACACAGCACCCTCTCCTAGGAAGGGTGTAAGGGCATAAGTCCTACCTCACAGCGGTGGTGAGAGGCAAGGGGCAGAGTGGCTGCAACCACCTCAGCATGGGGCAAGGAACATGCAGCTCAGGTTTTAGCTCAGGAGAACATAGAGGTGTCAGCCAGCAGGATAAGCATTGCTCTAAATAAAATGCCGTATGGCAGGAACCAGCCATATAAATTCTGAATTAACTAGCTAAGGGGCATGGGAGAAGCACAGGCTGCTCAGCATCCTCCAGTAAGAGCATGTAGAAGGTCTGCAGTGACCAAGGTCACCAAAAGGGTCCCAGCAAAAGTGGGATATTGAAACTAGACACCCAGATCTGGTGAGTGGATGGTGCAGCATCACACTGCAGTGTTTTTCCCCACGGTAGTGCAGCTCCCAGAGCTGCTGCAGCATGGGCAGGAGCAGTTTCTCAACACCTATGCCCCACATGCCTGAGAAGTGGCATCTGCAATTAGCTCACAAGTCATCTTCTGGCCCTTCCAGGGAGGTAATTTGGACATAATGAAGATCTATAGTAATCAGATAATTGCTATCGATTGCTCTTTAGACATCTTGACGAAGTAATTAGGTGGCACTGGAAAAAAGCTGGAACTGATTCATTGGCATAACTGTAATCTCAAAAGTATCCTGATTTTGTTTCTTTTCCTCTAATGGCCAATAAAAGGACATTGTTTTAGCTTCAGGGTCTGCCATATGCTGGGATGGGGGCTTTTCTTATATGCTAACTAGCTCCCTGAATGCGGTCAGGAGTAGCTTAGCTAAAATGGACGCTCCTTTATTCGTCCTGGGGTAGTATCCTGGTTTTGTGTGCCCACGTATTCCTTGAGCATTCTTACTCTGTGTGTGATTGTCTTTGGCCACATGAGACTTGTTGGTTGGATGGCTCTTTTAATTAAATATGACTGAGATGGGCTGTGTTGGTTTCTAACAGGGCCCATGTAGGTGCCTTTGTACTTGCTTCTCCCATGTGGTCTACAATTACGCTGTTTGTAGGCAATATTCCACTGTGGTCTTATTAATTAAAGGCTTATATTTATTTTTAGCTTCAGAAAATGACCAGACTCTTGGCTCACTAGCTTTTAATTACATGATCAATATTGCAGTAACCCTGAACCAACACATTCATATTCATATGTACAAAATGCTCGATTGCAGTGTCTTGCATTGTTTCCATACCACCCCCTTTGACAGTCTCAGCATAGGCATCTGTTATCTCCTGTACCACTCTGTCATAGAGCACTTCATCAGGAGGCCACAAGGTGAAAGACCAGTGGTATGCACAGGTCCCATATCAGCAGGACCTACACCAATAAGAGTTTCCAAAAACAAAATAGATGTCCAGTTTGATGAGCAGTGGAGAAGACTGATCTATTTCTGTACTCAAACAGTGACTGTGTGCAAAGTCTTTGCATTCCACATAATAGCACGCAATTAAGCTTCTGATTAAGGACATGCAAAATAACACTGCATCTCCCAAAGGAGAGGTGCCTGCATCTCTGCTGGGCTGCTGCTGTATGAAGAGGGTGAGTGGCTTATACTCAGATCCACTAGTGCAGTTCCAGTTCACAGGGAAACACAATGCCTGTGTATTTTTTTTATCTGTATTACACAAGTTACAGCATCTACAACAGACAGTCTTGAGGACTCGGAAGACCATTGTTCTGTCTTGATGAAACCTGACCACTCTCTTCTTTTTATCCCAATACTGCAGGAGGTCCTGCAGCTTGAGCGGCAGATGGGTGGGCAGCTTTTGGAGGAGCCCAAAGCTTTGCATTTTAAGGGAAGCACTCACAATCTCCGTCTGTCCATTCATGATATTGCCCACTCTCTCTGGAAGAGCAAACTGCTGGCTAAATACCAGGTGAGCAACACAAAACATTCACATTGGATCCTAGCAGTGAGGATTACAGAAATACTGTCATGCACAGGTGTGTTTGAAAAACACCAGGTGCCAGGCTATATTCCCATGGACCATTTGCATTCACAGTAGAATGGAGCCCACAGTCTCTGGTCACGTAGCATCCATGCCTTGATCTCAAATCCCTCCCTGACTATACTTTTTTGCTTTCCTCCTGCAGGAGATACCCTTTTACCACATCTGGAGTGGATGTCAGAGAAACCTGCACTGCACCTTCACACTGGAAAGGTTCAGTCTGAATACCCTGGAGCTGGTGTGCAAACTCTGTGTGCGGCAGGTTGAAGGAGAAGGACAGATCTTCCAGCTCAACTGCTCTGTTTCAGAGGTAAATGACATTTGTGCACTTTTCTATCCAACTGCAGGAATGTGGGAGGCTAAGGAGGTATGACCTTTCCCATTGCTACCTGTTTAGTGCTTCTCATTTTCCTCCTGACTGCTGAGATAGACATAAAGAATGGATTAAATCATTGCTTTGTATCTCCTCTTGCATTTTCCCTTAATTTCTCTCTTCTGGAAGGAAGAATCACTCCTTCAAGGGAGTGAGGAGAGCAGCCTTGGTCTCCCTGCTAGTGCTACCTTTCTATGTCTATGTGGAGGAGCTCTTTTCCTACCACTTCCTAATGCATCTCATGAAGCACTGCTTGGTCCTGTTTTTTATCAGGAATCATCATGCCTGATGTTCCTGTAGAAGGAGAAAAGAGAATAGGAAAATTTCAGTGCCACACTCCCCTCTGATCCCACATAATAGCTGCAGTGCAATAGGGAATATCAAATGGTCTAGTTGCAGTAAACTTCTCTCCTCGTATTTTTCTACTGCTACAAATCCTGAGTATTATTTTTAGGCAATTTTTCTTTTGATGGCTGATATTTTCCAGTAGAAATTTTATCATAAGTTTGGTAACATCTTTGCCAGTGCTATATAGAACCTGGAGAACTTTTGCTCCTTGGGGCAGTCAAGTTTGGGACAGAGACAAAGTAACACATTCAAATGTGAAGTGGCATTGACTTCAGTGGATATGCTGGTGGGTTTTATTCCTGCTACCCTTGGCAGCTACGAGGAGCAGACTCTCAGGCAGCAATTACTGCTGGCTGACTTCTGGAAGGGCTGTGAGACCAGAGACAAAAGTTACTTGTGCTATAGGGCCCTAATGTTGTGTGCTATTACCCATAACATCTGCTTGGTTAGTGGGTGTACAGTTACAGATTCATCTGGGGACTACACAGCATTAAGGACAGATGGTAAAACAAGCATCTTAAACAATTATTGTAATAAGTGCTGCATTGAGGTAATCACTAATTTAACCTCACAGAGAAGAGAAAGAGCTGAAAGTAACTTTAATGAAATGCAAGTATACACTATAATCATCTTCAGCTGGTTGTGTGTAATATAGCCTGGTAATAGATTCAGAGGGAACAGGGTAATATTCTTGTCTTGTGCTGTGATCCTATCCATCAAGGATGAATAGAGGGAGTGAATAATACCACTGCTTTCAAGGCTGCCTCCTGCAAAATTGCTCCTTGTTGTTTACACCTTGTGATGTTCCCAAGCCCAAGCAAGGGGCAGGAGAACCTTGGGCTGCCAAGAGCTGGCATAGAGGGTCAAATAGGAAAAAATCCAAAATCTCAGAGATTTGATGAGAAGTCACCTGGAACTTGGAAACGGATGATTATGTCTCTAGAAGTGTGGTAAAGACATCAGACCAGGCTTCAGGAAACCTTAGCTGTGGTGCCTCACATTTTCTTCTGAGGTTAGGCTAGTGGTATCCAGCTAGTGGTTAAGGATTGCAGGAGTGTGCTGGCATCTTTCTTTATTGCTGGATCTGCCTTTCTGCCTTTGTCACCCTGCAGTAAAAATATAGTAACACAGTTTCCTGCATCCTCCCTTTATGGGCTTTCGTTTTAGTCCCCTGTAAAGGATGTGAGACTTCTCCAGATTAAACCATCTTATACTGGCTTTTACAGTGTCTGCCACTGGGACTTCAAAAATACAAATGTAATGAGTGCCAAAACATGCACATTTGAAAAGCAGGAGGAAGACTGCAATAAAGGTCCCCCACCATTTGTTTCTGAAGACCTCTTTTTATCTGCTGGTGTTGATAATCACACAAAAGTGCCACGGGACAATGCCATGGATACCTGGGTTCCTTCTGTAGCAATCCTGAAACACCTGAGGCTGCAGGCCAGCTTTGGAGCCAGAGCAGCACTTGTGTCCTTTGGCCCAGAATATAAAGAAAAGGTTATCTCTCTGCAATGCCCCAATCACCACCCTACTGCTGCTTCCTACCTCCCAGTGCAGGTGAGCCTGCAGGCAGCAGCAGTGTCATAATTTTGCCTGCTCCTGGACAGCTCCTGCTGCCAGACAGTTGGGCAGTAACTCATTGCTTGAAGCAGTGGGGTTGAGGCAGACAGTCTGTGGTGCAGGGCCTTGAAACCCAAGTACAGATGTCACAATGTCACATTTGCAATGTTAACTGAGGACATTACAGCTAATTCCTTGGTTAGAAATTTCACTGCCTAAAATGCCTTTTCTATTAAAAAAGAGGCAAAAAAATATCATATTTATAGAGTTAAGATAATTAATTGGTGTAGATAAAAGAATGGAGACAAAAGATTTAATTTTGTTCATTGCTCATGGATACTGGCTCTCCACTTTCCATCTTTGAATACATTTGGAGTTGGGAAATTGAGGACTGCACGTGACTGTGAGCATCTCCAACAAACTCCCTGGGGGGTTTGCAATGGCAGCTTAAATCAGGAGTTACCTGGTTTTAAGACAGTTTTAGATATTACAGGGCATTCTCAACAGCCAGTTTGACACCAAGCAACAAGACAGCTCACAGAGGTGAAAACAAATTGACATTTAATGACAAGTCTTTAGCAGAACTGTTTCTGGCTGCCTGGGGCTGTGATCTGGATCTCCCTCATTTCTGCCAGAAAAGGAGACCAAATTGAGAAACAGATTAAGAAGCGTGAAGGCAGAACCAGCCACGCTTGCTGATTTTTCCACTGGAGGTGGGAAGTGCTGCACATGTGAGCAGCATTCCCACTGCACAGCTGGGCAGCCAGTCAGCATCAGTGAGGTCTGGTGGGGCTTTCAGCCACCCTGGAGGGCACCAACCATCCAAATTGGCCAGCTACCATTGTCCTATCAACTACCAAGCCTGTGGGTGCTAAATCCTTTCAGGCCAAGGAAAAGACAAAATCCTTGCCCAGAAGAGCCACCTGCTGTTATTCCCAGCAGAGCCATGTTAACAGTGGTGTCATGGGGAGCCTCCCAGCTGGGAGGACCACATCAGAGAGAACCAACACCATACCTGCAGGGGACAAGCTGGCTTTGGAGGTGACTTTTCCTTTGAAACACTTGCTGCCATACTGCCTTTGAGCACAGCACTGGCCTTGGGGAGGGAGGACAATGACTGCCCCCTCCTGAGCACATCTCTTCCAGCTCCATCTATTTCCAGCACAGAGTTAAAGCTGCATAAAAATGAGGGATCAGCTTGTGCCTGGGGCGATATTAACTGTCTGTCTGTCTGTGGTCTGCACAGCATCAGAGACTTCAGAGAACATGGGTTCTGGCAGAAGGATGTCAGCGTGTGAGCCTGGTGCTGGCTTGGTGGAGCATGGGGGGCTTGGAGAGATGCTGGGAAGGCGGTTTTTGTCAGCCCAATTCTGTTCTAGTAATAGCAATTTGCTCTGAAATGTGTTGAAATAATGATCTTTCATTATTTCTAGTAAGTGATTAATTAAGCTGGTCTCAATTTTGTCATAGTGATCTTCACCCACAAAAAAAAAAAAGGAGAAAAAAAATCTTTTGTCTACCCAAAGTTGATTGTAAATATTTCTCTTTTCCAGCTGACTAACCTAAACACTTGATTGGCAGAGGGCTACAAGTAAAAGCACTGCATCTCAGAGGATACAGTTCTACAATTGTCTCTGCACTCAGTAACAAAACTGATGGGTTGTTTGAGCTTTTTCCCTGTCTTTCCAATCTCAGGAACCTACTGGCATCGATTATCCTCTCATGGACTCAGCAGGCACCATCACCACCATAGTAGGGCCCAGTGCTTTCAGCATCCCCCTCCCAATAAGGCAAAAGCTGTGCAGCAGCCTGGATGCACCTCAGACCAGAGGCCACGACTGGAGGATGCTGGCCCACAAGCTGAAACTGGACAGGTGAGCAGGGCTGCTTATGTATGGTTGGACAGTGAAGCGCCCAGGGAGGTATGTGCAGAAGGGTCTTGTTGGATGTCCCTCTAGGTGAGTGAGAGCAGGTGTACAGGCTGATCAGACTGACTGCACAGGGGATTAACACCTTGACAGCACCAGAAATGGGGATGGGTTGAAATCATATGAATTCAGGTAGTTTTCATGCAGCTCAAAGAAATGAGTTTCCTTTTGGCTCATTGCAGGTACTTAAATTATTTTGCTACGAAATCAAGTCCCACTGGGGTGATCCTGGATCTCTGGGAAGCCCAGAATTTCCCTGATGGCAACCTGAGCATGCTGGCAGCAGTTCTTGAAGAAATGGGAAGACATGAAACAGTTGTTTCTTTGGCAGCAGAAGGAAATTACTAATGCAGCCTTGGCGTGAACAGGAAGGACAGACGCAGAGAGCAGTAATGCCCTGTTATTGCAAACGAGAATTGAAATGAAAACCCAGACCAATGAGTTACACAAGAGACATTTCAGAGAAGAAAGCAAGGAAGCAAATAAACAAAAAAACCAGCCCTGACCTTCACACATGTTCTCCTTGTACATTATCACAGGATCAAAAAGAAATCATGCAAAGTTGTACCTTGAAAATATAAATCAACATAATGTTCCTCTCGGCTTGGCTGTACACTGCTTGGTACAGGATTTTACAGTTTCCTAGGAAACGCTTTTTATTGCTATCCAGATATATGGATAAACTTTCTTAACAATCCCACTTTCTATGGATGTTGTTTACATCAAATTCTGGACAGGGGTAAGGAGACTGTCCATGGCTCTTTATATTTTTTGTTTAAAGCCATTCTAGACAAGGCTATGGACAGGTGGTTGTGGCTACTATTGGTTTCTGGTGAATTCAGATTTTGGCTACAATTCTGCACATTGGTTGTCTTGCAATGATCCTCCTGTCATCATTCTGTTTCCTAGACCTACTTGTAAAAAAAAAAAAAAAAGAAAATCAGGGTTTGAGAGGTGTGCATCTGGAAAGCAGGTACTCTGGCTGATAAGCAGGAACACAGGTAATGTTCCCTTCCTTTCCCGAGGCAGCCCCACTGAGCCTGTGTGGAGAACAGCTATAAAATGGTGGGGAATGCAGGATCTGAGTTAGTTTTCAATTCACACCCTTTTCACCCCTTTGCAATATGAGGGGGCCAGATATGCAATTCAGAGTGGTTGGGAGGGAGGGGGATAGAAACGCAGAAAAAAATAAAAGAGAAAAGTTACTATGATAATTTTTTTACTGATTAGTATCTAGTGCAAGGATTATAATGACTATTATTATTACCATTATTACTTTATTTCTAATTTTGTCAGCAGCAGAATGAATAATTTCTGATTTTATGGAACCTGTTGTCCCTTTGCTGAAGGTCTTCTAAGATATGTCCTTCTATATGCCATCTGCCCTTCCCTTTGTCAGCTATCATACTCCTCCTCCAAAGTCCTCTGCCAGCCCACACAGTTGCTCACCTTGTGTTAGCATTGCTGTGCATCATGCTAGATGCAAAGGCAGTATAAACTGGTGACACTCTGCTGAAGTCACTGATCTGCACTCACCAAGTATCTGACCCAACACCCCTCCCTGGGATGTTTTACACCACCCTGGTGCTTTCAGGTTGCTCCAAGAAGCAGTCTTGTCCCAAGGTGGCTGTGAACCAGAGGCAGCCTCCCAGTCCAAGTACACATGGACCACTGGTTCAAGACAACAGGTGCAAGCATGTGGAGACACTGATGTTGGCCACCTGATTTGTGCATCCAAGGTGGGTCTTCATATTGTTTGCTTTGTTGTGTAGCGGTCTAAGAGCCAGCAACTCCCATTTCTTCCCCACAGAGCTGCAGGTACTCACTTTTACTGAAACCCACCACCTTCAGTAATGTTTGCCATGGTTGGGGTTACTGACAGTTCAACCCTCTGCTAGGCCATTTCTGTGTGAGATGCACTTGGTGATCTCCACGGATACTCCCAGGCTTTGCTGCAGCGTGTGTCATGTGGGTCTGTGTAGGGCCATGGAGTGGTGAAGTTGAAATCCCGTGTGTTGCAGTTTGCTGCCTTCACTGTGCTCCTGCCACCACCGCTGCCTAGTCAGGGAGCTGCAGGTTCTCACTGGCTGACCAGGAGATGTTTGTCCCTCTAGGCCACCACAAACAGGTAAAGTTTGAATTCTGCAAAAGGAGCAAACCAAAAATGGTCGTCACTGCAAATGTATTTTGTGTTCTGCTCAGTGAAAAGACTGACTCTTTGATACATGACAGTGAATAGGATTGCTGTAGTTTTACTGCCAGACTTGTCTGTCCTCTACTTCTCGCACAAAAAGCCTTTCTTCCCCAGTCCACCCGCTCCAGGTTTCCAGCCAGGCCCTGGTTATTGCCTTTGTGCACACATGCATGCCCCGTCCGCATATGTATTCCCACTCCGTATGCTTCCCGTGACTGGAGTTGGCTTGTTCTCTTTTGTGGTCTTGGTTTTGTTTTCCCCAAGGCTTTCCATATTGAGCTTTTGAAGGTAACTTTGAAAATGTCATTGGTCAAAATGAAAAGAAAATTTAATCTGACCTTTTTTTCCATTTGACATTTCCGTAGGCTTGGCACCTTTTGTTTCTCAGCTCCCTAACCAGTAAATAAGGTCAATCAAAACCAGTGGGGTTTTGATTGACCGCTGGGCAGCAAGCACAAAAAGTTCCCTTCCTTGTAAGAGGTAACTTGGCAGTTTTCCAACCAGCATTTCAGTGAAAACTGGAGACCAGAGGATATACACTGTAACTTTCAACATCTGTGTGCGTTCAGCCTGTGTAAGCCCCACCTTCTCTTAATGTGGAGATGATATGGACATCCTTTCAACAGCCAACCATCTTCTTTTTCACCTTGGGTATCTGATGCAGCCCATTGCAATGCTAATGTAAATTTTGCTTTCAACTTCAAGAGGCTTGTACTGGGGCTTCCAGCTCTGCCCTTTCTCCACACTTTTTACTCACCTTGGAGCACTAAAATAGGTCTCAGCTTTTTTTTCCTCCTATGCCATCTTCAGATGTAACCAGTTGTATTTAGTTTGTGCTTCTTCACCTTTCCCATGTGTCCTTCCTTCGTGACTCTGCGTCCAAGGTGGGTGCATGAGTTGAACTGTCCTTTGACCCTTTCCCATCTTCAGCTCAGTCTGTGTTGGCTGATCCCTAGGCTCACTGGTACTCCCCAGCTCTCAGCTTTTGCCAGGTGGGCAGCATGTGCACCCTTCTCACTAGGGTCATACCAGTGACACCCAGAAAGTGTCTCATAGTTATCTCTATTGCTATGAGTGGATGCTCCTTTTGCCAGCTCTCTGACCTACATTCTCACACCTCCTGCAAGAAGAACAGATGAACAAATTTCTTAAAGTATTCTGGGGCATTTTCCTGTCCCAGCATCACAGTAAAGGGGATTTATTGTGAGGAAAAATACACACTGATTGAGGAGCATCCACAGAGGTGGGCAGGAACATAACCGTTCATCACTGAACATGACTAGGGCAGGAGCATCACCATCACTGGGTGGTGGAGCTGTTCTTCTTCCACCCTGGCTGCTCAGAAACCTTCTGTCACCTGCTGCAATCATGAGCTGGATGCTTTCTTCAGCACCTGCTCCATAAGCCTTTGCAGGATCCCAGTGCGGCACTGTGTCAGCTGCCCCGGCCTTGACAGAGCAGGGAGAAGGTTCCTCCATAGAGTCGCAGCTCATCCCAGCAGCTCCACACTCATTTTTTGCCACTGCTGCCAAAGCAGCTCCCACTTCACCTCCCTGCATTAATTTTGCCCAGCTTTTTCTTTTTTTCTGGGGGTACAGCAGTGGCCAGGTGTGCATTGTGGGAGAGGGCTCCGGCAGAGGCTAGTGCTATTCACCAGTCAGCATTCCAATCCTGCTACCCCAAGGAGGGATGGTGGGAAGCAAGAGCAGCCAGATCCGCTCAGGGTATTATTTTTCGTGGGAGAAAAACCAGCAGCAGTCCCTCCACTTGGATTGCATGGACACAGTGCCATCTTGTGGGGCTGAGCAGTGGCTCCAGCGTGCTGCTGCCACCACGGCGAGCAACTTCGCGTGGGAAAAGGCTTTCCTGTGGGGTGGCTCTGACAAAGACGTTTGGCAGACAGAACAGACTCTTAAAAGTTGTTGTAACATTTTATGTCAGGTAAGCACATCTGCTTTAAAAGAAAAAAAAAAAGGCTGCAGGCTTCTTATCCTCCAGTTATCGCTATTTTTTAAAATGCTTATTGTTTTAGTTGTTCACCCTTGGCTCTGTACCTGAGCAGTCTTGCTGCTCTCCACGCCATCTCTTCATTACATGTTGATTGCTAGCGCTATAAATAGTATATATATTATATAAATATATATAAAATATCTACTGACTTCGAGGAAAACCTTTAATTTCCGAGTAAGAACCATTTATCGGAGGCAGTCCTTTTCACCTGATTTTTTTCTTGAGTTCTTCTTGTATTGTGTTCTTGTAAAGGTGACTGTCAGTGTATAGGGTAACTTTGAGGTTCGGTTGGTTTTTTTTCCAAAATTTCTGATCGCATTTGGATCCACTGTATCTCACTAAACAGTGTAAGACCTAAATGCTGTTTTACTGAATCTTGAAAATTTTGCAGCAGTGAGGGTCTCCCAATATTTGCTTCCATGGGAGACTGAGACTTTTTCCATCTCGCTGGCAGAAATGCAGACACTCATGAGAGACATGTTGGAGTCTGCAATACCCACAGAGCAAAACATGTCTGTTCCTTGGGTTTCTTCCTATTTCTGTTGCATACATATAGAATAAATGTATTTACATGCTGTAAGCCCGTCATTGTGGACAGTGTCCTAATGTCTTGTATTGCTACCTACAATAGTTTCTTTTTTGTTCTCCTTTTCTTCTTCTGGGGATGGGGGTATGGGAAAGGGAGGGGTGGGAGGGCCCTTAGACCATTGTATGCTCTAGCCAAGTAGTTACCACAGCTCTGAGGTTATTTTTATACACGATACTGTTGAGGTTTGCTTGATTTTGTGTTTGTTTGGTTTTTTTAATCTCATGTCTATGACACTTTACTGTAAACTATCTTACTAAGTGTTCAGAAGTCTTTTCAGGTATTACTCTGGCTCTCATCTGGCCATGAAGTAACTTACTGTTTGCAGGCTGGCTTGCTTAATACCAGGCAGTACAAAGATGTGAGTGGTTTGTGAATGGAAACCAAACCTTCAGCCCTTCTCCCACAGGGACTCCAGTGAGTTACTGGCTTTGGGGTCACCACCGCAATCCATTCCTAGCTTGCATGTGAAACCTTGAGTTCAGAAAATGAGCTGCACTACAGATTTTTAAATGCTGGAGCATGTATCTCAGACATCCTCCGAAGTGGGAATGTAACAGAAATGTGAAGAGTGCGTGTGTGTGTATACACATACAGACAAAGGGGAGAAAACAAAGGACTACTGCTGGAGGCTTTTAGCTCTGATGTTAGTTATGGGCATCCTCTTATTACCAACTTTTGCTTGAGAAGGGGAAGGTTAAAATTCAGTGCTGTATCATCACTGCAAGGTCAAAGAGGCAGTATATCAAAAGCCAACAGAGTAAAAACTGGCAAGTAACTGGAATTGGACTTGAACCAAAGCCATGAAAATGAGCCCTCAAGTTTGGTAGGTCAAGCTCCTTGCTTGAATAGGAGCATTTAGTTTATTTACTTATTGTCCTTTAAGCTTGACACTGCTCCCTGAAATCTGAAAATCCCTTTATCTGAAAGTCCTTTGATAAACTCTGCCTGTACAAAAAAGCAGTGATAATCCAGTGTTCCCACAAACCACTATCCTAAATAGATATTTCACTTTTTCTGTGGTGCTAGTTAAATGTATTTAGTACTAGTTCGGTCTCCTCAACTGCTTACAAAGCCTGCCTTCTTGTCTCAAAGCATCCCATGTCATGGCATGTGAGTACCTTCTGGATGCCTGTGAAGAAGCAGGATGTAATCAGGCAGGGCCCTCCCACAGCTACGAGGTAGCTCTTCGAGCACTGGCACTCTGGTCTCCAGCTGCCAGCTTGCAGCTGATGGGACAATAGCCCCTAGATGAGAAAAGCTTGCACAGCCCTCAGAGCTTCTTTGGCTGCTGCCAGCTGGCTCTTGCTACCACTTGCCAGTAAATTTGGGAGCTTGCACGATACAAATAAAAAGCAAAATCAACCTGGAAAGTAAACAAAATTAAGGAGGAGAGGCAAAACACTCTTCTCCCATAGACCTTCCGAGGTACCTTGCAAAAACACCTGAGCTGAGAGCCAATAACCTACTTTGAAGTAGGGTGTGTAACACAGCTGAGACAGAAGTTGTGGCATTAGCCAGCATTACTGTTTTCACATATCTGCATGGTAGACTTTATTTGCTAAAACATATTTTGTTTGTTATTGTTGAAGAGTGGGAAAAAAAAAAAGTTAAGATGGTATCTTCAGTACCTTTCCAAAGCAAAGAAGGAGGGCCCATAGGAAATGAAACATCTCTGCAACCCAGGTGTATCACATTTCTCCCTCTTCTTCCCATGTCACAGCTCTACTGGGGTTCATGGGATTTCTTTTCTTTGCTATTCAGATCTGGAGAACTATTTTGGTTTTGATTTCCCTATTGCTGTATCTTCTATGCAATTCCTTTTCTAAAGACTGACTTACTACAGGAGAAGTGCTAGCCATTGCATTATTTGTATTGCTGTACAGTGGAGGTGTGGTTTACTAGTTCTGAGTGTGCCTCTTACCCCCCTCCCTTTTTCTCCTTCCCTCTGTTTGTAAATGCCTGCATTTATTCTGTCAGCCTGACATGTACAAAGTGTAAGAAAGAATTTTTAAACAGGTAATAAATTATATTTATAAGCAACTGGAAAAAAATGCACCACTACCTTGTGTTCAATTGTTTAGTTCCTGGAAGCTTGGACGGAAAGTGGAGTCTTTTATTTAGTTTCTTAAAAAAAAAAATCTCCTGAAAAGAAATTATACTGCACATAAGAACTCGTTCTGATGCACTCTCCTTCAGAAGATATCCTTCATGAAATCCACATGCCTGTGCAGGCTGTTTCACTGCACTTCATAAATCCTCATGCTTCCTCATACTGTTTTACCCCAGCTGCTAGAGGGGAGCTCATCCTGGACAGTTTTCGTGGGGTTTGCATTTCGTGGTCACAGTCAAAGGTGGAGAAAAGCAACAGGTAAGAAAACGCGTCCTTTGCCTAAGAAGTAAAATAAATGCCACTTGGACAAGGTTATTTTGTCCAGCAATACCTGCTTATGTCATTTACCTTGAGCCAGGTGGATACAATGCCCAAACAGCGATGTTCACTCTTCTTGCACCCGCTCCCCATTGTCAGAGATGGTAGTTGTTTCTCCCTGGCCTTGTTAGACCTATTGGGGTCAGTATAAAATTTCTGGGAGTGCAAGAGGCAATTTCCCAGCACAGCTGCATGCTGCTCCTCTCAGCTAGGGTGTGGGGTGACAGTGGGGAAACGGGCATCTCTTACCACCAGTCCCTTACCTGCAGGTCAGCCCCAGGCTGAGGAGCCCACCCTGCCCATTATGGAGGTGATACAGGGGCCTGGGCACTGCCAGAGGCAGCATTATCCCATCCCATCTTGTCCCACCCCATCCCCTGGGGGTGCAGGGTTGCCTGCTGACCCTCGGAGTGTTGCCATGCTGAGCAACATTCAGCCCTTGTCCCCTCACACGCCAGCGTCACAGTGCACCAGAGAAATGTGCTCACTCTGCTCTCCCTGCAAGCAGCAAGGCAAGGTTAAGTCCAAGCTGAAGAACTCCAATAGCATATGAAGCCAAACAGCACACAGCCCAAAAGCCAAGAACTTGGAGACAAGTGCATTTGCCAGGTTTGTGAGACCCTGCAGCCCAGCTGGAAAAGCGCAGACCTTTAAAAACCCATCCCTGGCATGCCTGGATTACAGCAAGCTATTCCCAAGGTGTAAGGTAGTTTTATTCTGTGCTCCTCCTGTTGCAATGTTTAACGTGAGCTATGTGGCAGGCAGAAGACAACTGCTCAAGCTGTTCTCCCTGAGCACAGGACAGCTAATGCTTCTTAACAAAGTGTATCACTAACACAAGGCTCCTCCATCTCCCATGCAATCTCTGCCTCCTGGCTCCTGTAACTTATTGGCTCTCAACAGGCAGCAATTCTTCACAGGATGGCAGGCAGCCTCACGGTACCAGCTCATGCAGTTGTCCCTTGCAGCTACTGGGGACAGAGCTGGGGACTGGCAGGTCACTGAGCCAAGACCTGACACCTGAAGTCCATATGAAATACTGCACACTGCTCATTGTACATCGAGCATGGCACAGAGCTGTGCCCAAGCACCAGTGACAGGTTTACTCCATCCAAAAGCCACCAGACCTTTGGGAACATGGAGGGAAAATGGTTCAGTTTTTTATTATTATTTTATGATTATTTTCTCTGTTGTAGGAATAGTTAGATTATATATGAAGCTTGAAGCTATGATGTGAGGGGAGGATCTGTATGCCAAGGGACAAAAAACACAACTTTGGCTACAACGTGGTCCAGCAGCTAAAGAGAGCTGAGCTGCAGGCAGGGCTGGTTTCTGCAAAACTGTGCCCATGTTGGACAGTTGCTGCTTTTAGATTTCTTGGTGTCTGTCTGTCTTTCCCTTTACATACTCAGCCTTCACAGGAGACAAGTTCTTCTTTGTCCATCCCACCATTCCCACCCTGTCCATGTGTATTGCCGAATTTCCTTTGGTTTCTGACACCCCTAAGGACTGGTGTCTCCCAGAGCATGCAGTCTTTGCATTGCCCCAGCAGTTCCCTCCTCATTTTCAGGGACTTATCCTTCAGGTACCTGACAAGTAGCTGTTCTTCCTGAGACTCCTGGAAGAGTCTGCTCTGGTGTTGCTACCTTTGAAAGTGAGACTGCGACTCTCCTTCCCAGGAGAGGCACGGTTCAGTGTGTTTGACAAGGAAGCAGAGCTCCAATTTTGGCAGGGGACAGTAGCATGACTGCCAACCTTGAATGGAAGGGAAATAGTCCCAACATTGCTTGCAGTTGCAGACGATACACTAGTAGCTACCTAAGCCCAAGGCTAAATAGCACCTAGCAAGGTGGAGAAGAAAGAAAATGACAACAGAGCCTAAGACTGCCCCAAAAAGCCATACTTAGAAAGTTAGGCCAGGACAAAGCAAGCAGGATG